AAGATGGGATTTTCATCTCATGGCTCCTCAGGGAATCACAGTTCTGCTCCTCTTCCTCACTTCCAAGGAAATGGATTGACTTCCAAAAATCAGGAATGGTTTGGGTGGGACTGGACAACCTTGGAGCTCCCACCCAATCCCAAACCTCCAGGATCGTTCCACAAACGGGGATTGGAAACGAGGGAGCTCCACTGGAAGCGTTTGAGGCTCATCCACTCCATGATGGATCCTGGAAGCTCTGGTTGGGTCCCATCCTGCTCCAAATTCTCCATCTCCACGTCGGGACTTCCCAATCCCTGTCCCAAGGTCCTGGAGCACCACAGCGCTTTCATCCCAGGCCAGGTTGGATAGGGCTTGGAGAAACCTGGGATACTGGAAGGTGTCCCTGCCCTTGGAACGGTTTGGGTGGGGCTGGAAAACCTTGGAGCTCCCACCCAATCCCAAACCTCCAAGATCGTTCCACAAACGGGGATTGGAAACGAGGGAGCTCCACTGGAAGCGTTTGAGGCTCATCCACTCCATGATGGATCCTGGAAGCTCTGGTTGGGTCCCATCCTGCTCCAAATTTGTCATCTCCATGTTGGGACTTCCCAATCCCTGTCCCAAGGTCCTGGAGCACCACGGCACTTCCATCCCAGGCCAGGTTGGACAGGGCTTGGAGAAACTGGAATATTGGAAGGTGTCCCTGCCCTTGGAACGGTTTGGGTGGGATTGGACGATCTTGGAGCTCCCACCCAATCCCAAACCGCCAGGATCTTTCCACAAACAGGGATTGGAAACGAGGGAGCTGTGGCAGCTCCACTGGAAGCGTTTGGGGCTCATCCCACTCCATGATGGATCCTGGAAGCTCTGGTTGGGTTCCATCCTGCTCCAAATTTGTCATCACCACGTTGGGACTTCCCAATCCCTGTCCAAAGATCCTGGAGCACCACGGCGCTTCCATCTCAAGAAATGTCCCAGGCCAGGTTGGACAGGGCTTGGAGAAACCTGGGATACTGGAAGGCGTCCCTGCCCTTGGAATGGTTTTGGGTGGAATGGGACAACCTTGGACCTCCCACCCAATCCCATTCCACGATTCCACCAATAATTTCCCCCCTCACAATTAATCCAATTAACAGGAATCCACCGCCAGCTCCGATTCCAGCACGTGGCGCTCACGGGGTTAAACCAGAGCTCGTCCACTCACCGCTAATTAAGCCAAGCTGCTAATTGGCTCCTTGGCTGGCCGGGGGAAGGGCGGCCGGGGCTGCTCCGGGGTTTTTATGGGATTGGGAAGACGGAGGCGTCTCCAGGGACGCTTTTCATTGCCACCAGCCCAAACCCACGTTGTCCCCGACAAATCCCACCGGATTCCGGCTCGGCTCCCGCTGCCAATCCCTGATTCCCAACCAAACTTCCCAATTCTGGCTCCTTCCCACCATTCCTGGGAATTGCACCCACCCGGCTCCCGGGTGGGATCAGGTTGTCCATGGATTCATGGAGAACGTTCGATAAAACCCCGATCCCATCGCCCTGCTGGTTCTCCCTCCTGGAAATTTGGAATTTTAACCCTTTCATCCTCAAGTGCCAATTAATTCTGACATTTCCCAGGAGGTCACTCAGTGGCGGCGAATTCCATGGAATGCGATGGAGACCAGCTTGGAAAAGCGGGAAAGCTGCTGGAAAACTCATGGAAAGCTGCTGGAAAACTCCTGGAAAACTGCTGGGTTTTTGTGGGATTGGGAAGACGGAGGCGTCTCCAGCTCACGAGTGCGGCCACACCGAAGCTTTCAAGTTGTCCCCGACAAATCCCGATGGATTCCGGCTCGGCTCCCGCTGCCAGTCCCTGATTCCCAACCAAACTTCCCAATTCTGGCTCCTTCCCGCCCTTTCCTGGGAATTGCACCCGCCCGGCCCCCGGCTGAGATCAGGTTGTCCATGGATCCATGGAGAACGTTCGATAAAACCCCGATCCCATCGCCCTGCTGGTTCTCCCTCCTGGAAATTTGGAATTTTAACCCTTTCATCCTCAAGTGCCAATTAATTCTGACATTTCCCAGGAGGTCACTCAGTGGCGGCGAATTCCATGGAATGCGATGGAGACCAGCTTGGAAAAGCAGGAAAACTGCTGGAAAACCGCTGGGTTTTTATGGGATTGGGAAGACGGAGGCGTCTCCAGCTCACGAGTGCGGCCACACCGAAGCTTTCAAGTTGTCCCCGACAAATCCCGATGGATTCCGGCTCGGCTCCCGCTGCCAATCCCTGATTCCCAACCAAACTTCCCAATTCTGGCTCCTTCCCGCTCTTTCCTGGGAATCGCACCCACCCGGCTCCCGGCTGGGATCAGGTTGTCCATGGATCCATGGAGAACGTTCGGCCAACGAGGATAAAACTCCGATCCCAGGGTTTCTGGTTTCTGGCCCTGTTTGTTCTCCCTCCTGGAAATTTGGAATTTTATCCCTTTCATCCTCAAGTGCCAATTAATTCCAACACTTCCCAGGAGGTCACTCAGTGGTGGTGAATTCCATGGAATGCGATGGAGACCAGCTTGGAAAAGCGGGAAAACTGCTGGAAAACTCCTGGGTTTTTATGGGATTGGGAAGACGGAGGCGTCTCCAGCTCACGAGTGCGGCCACACCGAAGCTTTCAAGTTGTCCCCGACAAATCCCGATGGATTCCGGCTCGGCTCCCGCTGCCAATCCCTGATTCCCAATCAAAATTCCCAATTCTGGCTCCTTCCCGCCCTTTCCTGGGAATCGCACCCGCCCGGCTCCCGGCTGGGATCAGGTTGTCTATGGATTCATGGAGAACGTTCGATAAAACCCCGATCCCATCGCCCTGCTGGTTCTCCCTCTTGGAAATTTGGAATTTTCCTCCTCTCATCCCCAATTCCTGGGAAAAAACCCTGGAATTTGGGGTTTTACCAAAACCCGGAGCAAGCAGGCCGGGAGTGACTCCGCGAATCCCAAAAATCCGCTTTCATCCGCGTATCGGAATTCTGGGGTTCGACGAGGAGCTGGTGGGGTCCCACGGGGAATTTTGGGGTTCAGGGAGGGTTTGGGGGAATTCAAGAAGGATTTGGGGAGGTTCAAGAAGGAATTCTGGGGAGGTTCAGTGAGGATTTTTGGGGTTCATTGTGGATATTTGGGGGTTCTGTGAGGATATTTGGGGCTCAAGAAGGAATTTTGGGGTTCGGTGAGGATTTTGGGTTTCAGTGAGGATATTTGGGGCTCAAGAAGGAATTTTGGGGTTCAGTGAGGATTTTGGGGGTTCTCTGAGGATTTGGGGTTCAAGTGGGAATTTTGGGGTTCAGTGAGGGATTTTGGTATTCAAGGAGGATTTTGGGGGTACAGTGAGGATTTGGGGTTCAAGAAGGAATTTTGGGGATCAATGAAGATTTTGGGAATTCAGGGAGGATTTGGGATTCAAGAAAGAATTTTCGGGGTCAGTGAGGATTTTGCGGGTTCAGTGAGGATTTGGGGTTCAAGAAGGAAATTTGGGGTTCAAGAAGGAATTTTGGGGTTCAATGAGGATTTTATGGGTTCAAGAACGAATTTTGGGGTTCATTGTGGATATTTGGGGTTCAGTGTAGATTTGGGGCTAAAGAAGGAATTTTGGGGTTCAATGAGGATTTTTGGGGTTCAGGGAGGATTTGGGGTTCAAGAAGGAAATTTCGGGTTTCCTGAGGATATTTGGGGTTCAAGAAGGAATTTTGGGAATCAGTGAAGATATTTGGGGTCCTCGGAGGATTTGGGGTTCAAGAAGGAATTTTGGGGTTCAATGAGGATATTTGGGGTTCAGTGAGGTTTTGGGGTTCAAGAGGGAATTTTGGGGTTCATTGTGGATATTTGGGGTTCTCTGAGGATCTGGGGTTCAAGAAGGAATTTTGGGGTTCAGTGAGGATTTTGGGGGTTCTGTGATGATTTTGCAGTTCAGAAAGGAATTTTGGGGGTCAGTGGGGATATTTGGGGTTCAGCGAGGATTTGGGGTCAGTGAAGATTTTGGGAATTCAGTGAGGATTTGGGGTTCGAGAAGGAATTTTGGGGTTCAGTGAGGATTTGGGTTTCAAGAAAGAATTTTGAGGATGAGTGAGGATTTTGGGGGTTCAGTGAAGATTTCGGGTTCAAGAAGGATTTTTGGGGCTTTAGTGGGGATTTTGGGAATTCAGTGAGGATTTGGGGTTCAAGAAGGAATTTTGGGGTTCAGTGAGGATTTGGGGTTCAAGAAGGAATTTTGGGGATGAGGATTTTGGGGGTTCAGTGAAGATTTGGGGTTCAAGAAGGAATTTTGGGGTTCAGTGAGGATATTTGGGGCTCAAGAAGGAATTTTGAGGGTTCAGTGAGGATTTGGGGAGATTCAGGAAGGATTTGGGGGGGGGTCAGGAACGAATTTTGGGGTTCAGTGAGGAAGTTTGGTATTCAAGGAGGATTTTGGGGGTACAGTGAGGTTTTGGGGTTCAAGAAGGAAATTTGGGATCAGTGAGGATTTTGGGGGTTCTGTGATGATTTGGGGTTCAAGAAGGAAATTTGGGGATTCAAGAAGGATTTGGGGAGGTTCAAGAAGGAATTTTGGGGATCAGTGAGGATATTTGGGGTTCCAGAAGGAAATTTGGAGATCAGAGAGGATTTGGGGTTTCTGTGAGGATTTGGGGTTCAAGAAAGAATTTTGGGGTTCAATGAGGATATTTGGGGGATTCAATGAGGATTTGGGGAGGTTCAAGAAGGAATGTTGGGGTTCAATGAGGATATTTGGGGTGTTCAACGAGGATTTGGGGCCCAAGATGGACTCGGCAGGATTCAACAAGGACTTTTGGGATTCAACAAGGACGTTTGGGGTTCACTGAGGACATTTGGGGTTCCTTGAGGACTTTTTGGGGTTCACTGAGGACTTTTTGGGGTTCCTTATTTTTTGGCGCTCCACAAAGACCCGAGGGGCAAGGCGCGAACGGAAGGGAACGAGGGGAAGGATTGGGAATAAACCTTCGGGAATAAACCACGGGTGACGTTCCCAATCCCGGCTACCTGTAGTGCAGGAGCTGCCCCTCGGCGCCGTAATCCCGGTAAACGTCGAATTCCTTCTCGAACGCTCCCGAGGGCGACGAGCTGGAAAACAGGAACGGCGGAGGAGAACGTCAGCGAATCCTCCGCGATTCATGGAGATCGATCCCACCGGGATGGGACCCACCCGACCCGGAGCCCCTCGAGTTTGGAGTCTTGAATTTTTTTTATAATTTTTTGTAATTTAAAAAATTTTTTTATATTTTTTGATTTTTTTGATTTTTTTTTTTATTTTTTGATTTTTTTGATGGGATTCACCCGACCTGGATCTGCCCTAGTTTGGAGTCGTTGATTTTTTTTTTATTTTTTGTAATTTTTTTTTTTTTAATTTTTGATTTTTTAAATTATTTTTTAATTTTTTTATTTTTTGGATGGGAATTACCCGACCTGGATCTGCCTGAGTTTGGAGTCTTTAATTTCTTTTTTAATTTTTTGTAATTTTTTTGATTTTTAAAATTTTTTTTTTATTTTTTTATTTTTTGGATGGGATTCACCCGACCTGGATCTGCCTGAGTTGGGAGTCTTTAAATTTTTTTTTTAAATTTTTTGTAATTTTAAATTTTTTAAATTTTTTTATTTTATTTTTTTTATTTTTTTGATGGGATTCACCCATCAAACAAATCTCCCTAATAGGATGAAGCCCCAAAATTTTAGTGGAGCAATAAAATGAAGCTTCTGTCAAAGCCGATTTTAATGGGATTCAGCCCGGGAATTACGGCTGCGTGGAATTGCTCAATCCCCTTTTCCTCGCCGGCGCGCGTGAATGGAATTATGGAATTCCCCCCTCCCCCTCCTCCTTCTCCTCCTCCTCCTCCTCCTCCTCCAGGATTCCTGAGAGAAAGGCATCACCTCCGATCCCAGTGCTGTACCCAAATCCATGTGGAATTTAGAAGGTGGATCCCCAAACCCATGATGGAATCCAGATGGATCCCCAAATCCATGGCAGAATTTAGATGGGCCCCAAAGCTATGGAGGAATCCAGACGGATCCCCACATCCATGGCAGAATCCAGATGGGTCCCCAAATCCATGTCAAAATTTAAATGGATCGCCAAATCCATGGAGAAATCCAGATGGATTTCCAAATCCATGATGGAATCCAGAAGGATTCCCAAATCCATGTCAGAATTTAGATGGATCCCAAATTCCATAGTGGAATCCAGATGGATCCCCAAATCCATGGTGGAATCCAAATAGATCCCCTAATTCACGGTGGAATTTAGACGGACGCTCAAATCCATGTCAGAATTTAGATGGATTCCCAAATCCATGTCAGAATTTAGATGGATCCTGAAATCCACGTCAGAATCCAGATGGATCCTGAAATCCATGTCAGAATCCAGGTGGATCCCCAATTCTGTGGCAGAAGCCAGATGGATCCCAAATCCATGTCAGAATTTAGATGGATCCCCAGTTCCATGGCGGAATCCAGATGGATTCCCAATTCCATGACAGAATCCAGGTGGATCCCAAATACATGGAGGAATCCAAATAGATTCCCTAATCCATGGCGGAATTTAGATGGATTCCCAAATCCATAGTGGAATCCAGATGGATCCCCAAATCCATGATGGAATTTAGATGGATCCCCACATCCATGATGGAATGCAGATGGATTCCCAATTCCATGGCAGGATCCATATGGATCCTCAATTCCGTGACGGAATCCACATGGATCTCCAAATCCTTGGAGGAATCCAGACGGATTCCCAAATCCATGTCAGAATCCAGGTGGATCCCCAAATCCATGGCAGAATTTAGATGGATCCCTACTTCCATGATGGAATTCAGATGGATTCCCAAATCCATGTCAGAATCTAGATGGATCCCGAATTCCATGTGGAATCCAGATGGATCCTCAAATCCATGGTGGAATCCAAATAGATCCCCTAATTCACGGTGGAATTTAGACGGACACTCAAATCCATGGAGGAATCCAGATGGATCCCCAAATTCATGGAGGGATCCCCAAATCCATGGTAGAATCCACATGGATCTCCACATCCATGGCAGAATCCAGATGGGTCCCCAAATCCATGGCAGAACCCAAGTAGATCCCCAAATCCATGTCAAAATTTAAATGGATCGCCAAATCCATGGAGAAATCCAGATGGATTTCCAAATCCATGATGGAATCCAGAAGGATTCCCAAATCCATGTCAGAATTTAGATGGATCCTCAAATCCATGGAGGAATCCAGACAGATTCCCAAATCCATGTCAGAATCCGGATGGATTCCCACATCCTTGGAGGAATCCAGGTGGATCCTCAAGTCCATGGTGGAATTTAGATGGATCCCCAATTCCATGGTGGAATCCAGATGGATCCCCAAACCCATGTCAGGATTTAGATGGATCCCCAATTCCATGACAGAATCCAGATGGATCCTCAAATCCATGTTGGAATCCAGATGGATCTCCACATCCATGGCAGAATCCAGATGGATCCCCAATTCCATGGAGGAATCCACATGGATCTCCACATCCATGGCAGAATCCAGATGGATCCCCAATTCCATGACAGAATCCAGATGGATCCCCAAATTCATGATGGAATCCAGATGGATCCCCAAACCCATGTCAGGATTTAGATGGATCCCCAATTCCATGGCGGGATCCAGATGGATCCTCAAATCCATGGTGGAATCCAGATGGATCTCCACATCCATGGCAGAATCTACAAGGATTCCCAAATCCATGACAGAATCCACATGGATCTCCACATCCATGGCAGAATCCAGATGGATCCCCAAATCCATGGCAGAATCCAGATGGATCCCAATTCCATGGCAGAATTCAGATGGATCCTCAAATCCATGGCAGAATCCACAAGGATTCCCAAATCCATGGCAGAATCCAGGTGGACCCTCAAATCCATGGAGGAATCCAGATGGATCCCCAATTCCATGGTGGAATTTAGATGGATCCCTAAATCCGTGTCAGAATTTAGATAGATCCCCAGTTCCATGGCAGAATCCAGATGGATCCTGAAATCCATGATGGAATCCAGATGGATCCCCAAATCCGTGGAGGAATCCAGACGGATCCCCAAATCCATGGCAGAATCCAGAAGGATCTCCACATCCATGATGGAATCCAGATGGATCCCATCCCTGGAAGTGCCCAAGTCCAGGTTGGAGCAACCCGGGATCTGGGAAGGTGTCCCTGCCCAGGAACTGGATAAGCTTTAAGGTCCCATCCAACCCAACCCATTCCATGATTCCAGGAGATTTCTGGAGCTCTTCAAGGTCCTTCCCTATGGATCTGCTTCCCAGCACTCCACCCCCATCCAGCACAGCAGGAAAACCTGGTGGGAATGTCAAATTTTCCATCTAAAAACTCCACTGGAACCCGGCCACGGCCGAAACGGGATCGTCAAACCCAACGGACGCCGGAATTCCCCACGTGGGATGGACCAACAGCTCCTCCACACCCATCCAGGACGGAATTCCCGCTCCTCTGGATCCCAGGTTTCTATTCCAGGTGCCAGCATCAAGCTCCACGTGCTCCTCCATCCTTCAGTTCGGCTCAACCAAAAATTGACGGATTTTCCTTGGAATTTTTCGGAGTTGTCGCTTCCAAGATCTTCCCAATCCATCGGAGCCAGGGCTTGGTTTCCATCCATCCTTTTTCCTTTTCCAGTTAATTATCCCCATCCAAACGAGCTCCAGGCCTCCTCCCATCCATCTCCAACAAGTTTTGGAGCTGATGGATGAGCGAATCCATCCCAAAAATTCCGATTGGGGGGATCTGGGCAGCTCAATATTTAACCAGGAATTCCGATTTCCTGCGGGCAAGGATGTGACGGAGCGCAGCCCCCACCCTTGGCCAGATGTTTTTCCAAGGTTTTTAGGGCAAATCCTTACGGATTTTACTTGGCCAACAGATTAGTTGGATTAAAGGAGGAATTTTAGGACCTGTGGATGCTCCATCCCTGGAATTGTCCAGCCTGGGTGGGATGGGGCTTGGAGCAACCTGGGATGGTGGGAGGTGACCCTGCCCATGGAAAGAGGATGGAACTGGGTGGATTTGAGGATCCTTCCCACCCAAACCATTCCATGTTTGAGGTCTTTCTTGGAATCTCCACCAGTTTGTGTCCTCAAGCCAGACGTTCCCACCCAACCTGGCCTTGGAACAACCGGGATAATCCGGAAAACTCAACCCAAACAAATTCCCAATGTGTGGAAGGTGGCCCTGCCCATGGAAAGAGGATGGAACTGGATGGATTTGAGGATCCTTCCCACCCAAACCATTCCATGTTTGACGTTTTCCTGGAATCTCCACCTTGGCCCGGTTTGTGTCCCCAAGCCGGACATTCCCACCCAACCTGGCCTTGGAACAACCGGGATAATCGGGAAAACTCAACCCAAACAAATTCCCAAAGTGGGCACCAAGGACTTCCACAAGAACGGGGCTGCGATCGCATCCCAGAAATCCCGACGGATGAAATCTCATGGAGCTGATCGCAGGAAGCAAAACTGGCTCCAACCAAAAACCCGACCGGTTTGGAAACCCAACTTCGGTTTTGGAAAAGTGTCCCGAGGTCTCCCCAAAATCCTTCTCCATGCAAAACCAGCCCGGCTCCCTCATGTTCTCCTCACCCACCCCGTGCTCCATCCTGGTGATTCCCGCCGGATTCTCCCAGCTTTCCCAGGTTTCGGATAATCCAAAATTTTCCAAGTTTTGGCCAAACGAGGATTCAATTTTCGCTGGACTTTCCGAGGCGTCCCCAACTTCCCTCCCTCGCCTGCCCTTGGGACAACAATTCCCAGCATTCCCGAATCCTTGCGCCGCCGCCATTTTGTCCATCCCGTGGCCTTCACCTTGGCCAGTTCTTCCCAACCCATCCTCGATCCCAAAAATCCCTTGGAGATCCAGCCCTGCCCTCCGGCGCGTCTGGAGCCGGGGGTGGGTCCCAGATTACTGATAAGGATGTCCAGATTATTGATAAGGATGTCCAGGTTATTGATAAGGATGTCCAGGTTACTGACAAGGATAGCCAGGGTACTGATAAGGATATACAGGTTACTGATAAGGATGTCCAGGT